ATGTAGATGGAACATGCAGAAACAGTTAAAAGGAATAATGATGTAGACGGAACATGCAGAAACAGTTAAAAGGAATAGTGATGTAGATGGAACATGCAGAAATAGTTAAAGGAATACAGTGATGTAGATGGAACATGCAGCAATAGTTAAAGGAATAATGAAGTAGATGGAACATGCAGAAACAGTTAAAGGAATACAGTGATGTAGATAGAACATGCAGAAATAGTTAAAGGAATACAGTGATGTAGACGGAACATGCAGAAATAGTTAAAGGAATACAGTGATGTAGATAGAACATGCAGAAATAGTTAAAGGAATACAGTGATATAGATGGAACATACAGAAATAATTAAATTAATACACAGAGATACAGATGAAATACAGATGGGTAAACGTACAGAATAAAAGGTGGAATGTAGAAAGACAGATATGTGGAGAGGTACGGATGAACTACAGAGATAGTTAACGAATATATAGACACAGTGAACAGAGCGTATGGATCTACAACGGCGGGGAGGCAGCTAGGACACTGGAACCGAACTTCCCGGTGAACAGACATTGCCAATGTTGGTGTTTTAATGTCAGCCACCAGGACAGTTTAATCGCGGTCTCTCTAACCTGGCAGCAAAAAGCTGCGTCCGAGCAGCTGGGAGAGCAACACCTTCACCCCCACGGCGTAAGTCCACAGGAACGAGGAGACGGGCGACATGACAGCGACCGAGCGAGAGCAGTCGGGGAGGGTACAGCACGAGAACCGTCCCCCAGCACGGAACACACTGACCCGCACAGACGTTCCGCCGCACTAACAGTCCCACCCCCAACTCCTCCTGCAGCACAGCTCAAACCAATGCACACTGAGCAGTGATTGCACTCGCCCAGGCACTGTATGTGTGTGTGTAGATACAAATGTGTGTATGTACATATTTTTACAAATTGCATATATCAAAGGAAAGCATTGTGGATGCTGGAGATCTGAAATAAAACAGACATTTCTGGAGAAACTCAGCAGGTCTGGCAGCATCTGTGGAGAGGAAAGCAGAATTAACACTGAATCGGATGTGACTCAAAAATTTGCATTGGCCTTCCACAATCACATGACCCTGCGTCCCCAAAGCACTTTACAGCCAATAAAGCACTTTTGAAGTTTGAACACTATTATAGGGTGTAAGAGGTCTTTTGGTGCAGTGTTAGTGTCCCTGAATCTGAGTCAGACTCTCTGGGTTCGAGTCTCACCAAAGGAAGGTTCATTCTCAGTGCCTTCAAAGTAGCTTGTGTAATCAAGCTGCAAACCCTCCCAACATATGCCAGTAAAACTGGGAGACTTTGTTAGTCAGCTGTAAGATAGGAAGACAAAGTGGAGCCTTGGCTGGCTCTGCACTGCAGTATAAAAGTCAAAGTGCACCTGCTGTAGCAACTCAGACTCCTTGAGGAGTCCAGTTGCCTGATCAAGAGCCAGTGCAGATCACATTAATGGCTAACAGCCCAAGTTTTGATCTGTCTTAGATACATTTGGACCTGAACAGTTTGCAGTTCTGCGGGTTGGACCAGTCTTTGAGTTTACAAAATGTAGGATACATCGCAGTCAATCAAGGCACAAGCTCCCACAAAAACATGCCAGTTTACATTGGCTAGTTCACCTATTTTTGCAATGTTAGTTTAAAATATTGTCAGGACTCTGGGAAGAACATCTCTGCCATAATTTGAAATGGTGCTGAGGGTTCTTTTACATCCACCAGATGACATCGGCTGGATCTTAGTTAAATCTCATCTGAAAGAGATATATGTTTATGTGGAGGAGAGGTTTCATTTAGAGAGGAATTGAATTAAAATACAGAGTAATGACATTAACTTTGCATTGAACTCTATTTAGATCACACTCGGAGTGCTGTGCATTGTCATATTCCTATATCATGTAAAGGAAATAAGAGGTGTTGGAACAGATGTTAAAATATATATATATATAAAGATGAAAGCAGAAATGAGAAGTTATAACTATCATTGAAATTCTAAGCAGGCTGTGGCTCTACTTAAGAGAAAAAAGACTTCATCAAAAGCTGATTATTTCACCTACACACACACAGATCTTCTATTGGTTTTTGCACTGGAACTTGGTGTAATTAAAAACCTGAGAGACGACGACAAATTCTAAATGGGACCCAAGACTCGTGGGAAATGCAAACAACATCACATTTGTCTCAACCAAATCAAATTGAAGAATCTTTACTGATTTTAACTCACTCAGAACCTACTCACAGAGTCTGATCATGAGCATAAATTAGGATAATTAACTCAACACTATATCACATTCAGAAAGCAAAATAGAGAGAGAAAGAAAGATGAGATGAATAGAGAGAGGCAAAACAGAAGGGAAAAGTGAAAAATAACTTTTTTAGGTTATGATGTTTAATGGACAAGTCCAAACTTTTGATGATGTGTTATTTATCACATTAAGCTCAACTACTTTACTGCCTACCAAGCATTTTCAGTGACAAGTTTTGAGGCATGATATTAGCATAGCAAAGCTTTTGGAAGAGCGGATCTATTAGGATTTATGTATATGTGGTATAAAAAAATATTTTCAACATGTAAGATTGCATATAACTTGTCAGAGCACAAATTCATGGATTATATATTACTTTAATAGTGAACCCTTAATCGGTCTATTAGTACATAATATGTACATCCACCCATATTTTGCAGCATAAAAATAGTGAAGCAACTAGTGCTCACTATTATTAAAGAGTAAAATTTGACAACGATTTCTGATGCCTATACCAACATAGTTGAAAGCAAAAATCAGGAAGTTGCTCTGATCCTCCAAAATCTATAATGACACCAGTATCCCACCAAGAATCCCAGTAGTGATGCACTTAAATTGGCAGGGACCTGTTGTACTTACAGATATCCGCTAAACAGGGGATTGGGACTGACTGGGTTGTCCCCGTAAAGAACCGGCATGGACCGATAGGCCAAATTACCTCCTTCTGTGTCATTTTGTGACTCTATAAGTAAACATAAGGGAAAAAGTTAGGGATTATCCATTTCAAAAGTACATTTTAAAGGTATGATAAATCTTAACCATTCTGGCCTTGTAAACAAACTTTTAACAGTGTAGAATTGCATTCCTTCAGTTTATAATTATTTGCGATGAACAGAAGAACTAGGAATAGGAGTAAGCAATTCAGCTCCTCAAGCCTGCTCCACTGTTTAATACAATCATGGCTGATCTCATTTCAGCGTGAATTGCACTTTTCTGCCTGGTCCCATAACCCTTCAACTCATTACTAATTAATAATCTGTCTATCTCCTCTCTAAACTTACTCATTGTCCCAGTATCTACCACAGCCTACAGCAGATTCAAGACCTTTTGAGAGAAGTAATTTCTCCTACTGTTTTAAATCTAGTAGCCCTTCTCCTAAAATAATGACTTCTCATTCTAGATTGCCCCAAATGAAGAAACATCTTTTCTACATTTGCTTTGTCAACCCGCTTTTCGATCGTTTTTACCTCAATTAGATCTCATCTCATTTTTATAAATGCCAAGAAGTATAGGCATAAATTCCTCAATTTTTCTTCATAAGATAAACTCCTCATCTCCAGAATCAATCTAGTAAGCCTGCTTTAAACTGTGTCCAATGCAACTACATCCCTCTTCAAGTAAGGGGACGAAGATTACCAGCTGCAATCTGACTAATGTCTTGTACAGTTACAGCAACACCTCCTTGCTTTTATACTCTACATCTTTAGCAATTAATGCCAAAATTCCTTTGCCTTTCTTATTACCTGCTGTACCAGTAAAATAGTTTTCTGTGATTCATGCACAAGGACACCCAGATCCCTTTGAAGCACTGAAGCATTATGAAGTTTCTCTACCTTTAGATAATACAAAGACTTTAAATATCATGTCATTCTCTTACTCACAGCTATCTTTCCCTCAAGATCCTGAAAGCTTTGATTATATTCCTGCCCTACACCTCTCTTTGTGAGGCAACATCCACATCTACCTTGTCAAAATCCCTCAGGATCTCATCTGTTTCATTCAAGTTGCCTATTGCTCTTCTGTCTGTACACCATTCCCAGAAATGTTTTCTTGCCTTTATTATTTCTCATCTCCATTCAAACTATTTCCACATCCTGAACTTAGGCTATCATCTCTATAGTGTTCCTGCTATCAATATCTAACAGAGCCACCCTTCCATTTTTTCCTAGCTACCTGTCCTTCCTGTATGTCTTATATCCTTCAAGATCCCCATCTCTGTCATCCAATGACAAAACATTTGCTAAACCTTTTCACTTTGCACTCATCATGACAATTCACAAGAATTATCAATGTAAAGGGTAGACAACATTCATACTGTATGAGAGAGGGAGAGTTAGACACTGGTCAATGGTGGACACTGTGTTGTGAGAATATTACTGAATCTATACATCTAATGTATCCCTTTGGAAATCTTTCAGTTATAGATAACCCTTTTCTGCATAGGTTTGTATGTAACATTTATTGCATAGATGCTTTTTTTCACTATACAGAACCGACCACTGTAGAAAATTTCTACTACATTTTACTGTATACAATAGTACTGCATAAATTGTATGACCTTCTATCAAGGTTGACATTCAAGTTTCCCTATACTGGATGTATAAATATTTCACCATGTAGTTTTGTATGGTTGCTCAGTGTAAAACACATTCTACAGAGGATCCTCATAGCCATCAAATACAAAGAACATTTATCTTATCAATCTGAGCTGATTTGAAACTACATTTTCAAGGTAAGGCCAGTATATAAACCATTACACAGCCCAGAAAGGTTTGGAAGGATATGGGCCAGGAGCAGGCAGGCAGGACCAGTTTAATTTGGGATTATGTTCAGCATGGACTAAAGGGTCTGTTTCCGCGCTGTATGACTCTATGACTCTATTCCAAAAATATGCCCTAGGTTTTTCACCAATTAGATGTAGGTATTAGATCAAACAAGAAATCATTTTTGTATGTATCTGTTGGATCCACGCAACTTCTCATTATATCCTTCCATCCCTTTTCTTCCCAAATAAGTATCTTAGCAACGTTTGAGCTCATTTGTATAAACTTTAGTGGTTTTCCCCGGTGATTTATTCCCTTTGGAAGAAAATGTTCTATTTGACTCCTTTGTTTATTCTGAACTTCCAAACATCATTTGGCATCCTCTGGTGTTTGTGAATTTCCTAACTCTCTTCAAAATTCCTTCAATTCCAAAGAAGACTTAAAACTTCAACGCCAACTGCCAAAACCATTACCCGGTATATCATTCATGTCCTCATTACCCACCTTCCACATTTAACAACAATTCAGATTAAAAACCGAAAGAACTACAGATGCTGTAAATCAGGAATAAAAACAAAGTTGCTGGAAAGGCTCAGCAGGTCTGGCAGCATCTGTGAAGGAAAAAACAGAGTTAACGTTTCGGGTCCGGTGACCCTTCCTCAGGACTGTTCTGAGGAAGGGTCACCGGACCCGAAACGTTAACTCCGTTTTTCCCTTCACAGATACTGCCAAACCTGCTGAGCTTTTCCAGCAACTTCGTTTTTGTTCCTGAAACAACAATTCAGGCTTAGCCACAGGGCAGGTTGAGCAAGTACATAGAGCATTTGGGACCAAGGTTCTCTAAATAGCAAAGAGCACAACCATACAGTAACAAAATTAATCTTAAGCAAAAGTTGCTGGTTCAGCTTCCATTGCAGTTTTCGATGAAATTCTGATCAC